AAGGTGACAAATATGCGGTCGCATATAATATGCGAAAAAAGGGCCGCATATGCATAGTGCTTATTTCCGGCCACCCTAACGATAATCGAAAATCATCATGTGACTTGTGCGATTGGAGTTGACTTGACTTAAACCGCGAAGCGTCGACCAAATCTCACGACCAATATTTATTAACACGATGTTGAGTCTCTATGTGTGGAGAGGACATTGGGGCCTTGCTTCCGTGGATCCCGCCTGTTTAACTGTCATTTCATATTTACAACTCCTGGGGTATGACGAATGGGGAGTTATCGAATGCAATAACCCGAACGTTTCGCCAACCGGTCGGTCGAACTCCTGTTTGCGATTAAAAAAAAAAAACAAACCCACCTCCCTTCTAACACTCCTTCCTTGTATACTCTAGGCGAACTTCCCGTTCTGAAAGATGGCCTTGAGTGGGTCGCCGGTGTTTATAACATAATAAGATATTTAAAAAAGAAGGTACGATGGTACAACATTTCATTGTACATTTCGCATTTTCGTATTCAACGAGTCGCTTTCCCATTAAGGATTTGGACGCCGACGAGAGTCTAAACGAAGGGCAAAAAGCTGATAGTTTGGCGTAAGCATTGGGTTTCGTTATTGAGGGTCCGTCGATATTTTCTTGCAATCAAATTTAAACAAATTTGTTTATCATAAAGGTTTATCTCGTTTATTGAGGAAAACATTTACGATTCTCTGGTGAGCACCGCTCTCATGTCCACCGGAACCTTTCCATCACGTTTACTAATAATGAATTTCATAAACCAACCGGACCCAGTTGTTCACGTGGTACGTCAATTCCAAGAATTACATAGAAACAATTCGCCCGCTTTACGCAAAATTACTCCCCTTTCCAATCCGATATATCGTACCGACGCAACTGCGAGATGCTGCAAAAGTCAGATTGGAGAGGTATGGTGTCGTGACCGTAGGAGGTACAGGAACTCTCGTGGACAAAGAGCAAAAGGTTGCGACAACTGAATCCTTCCTTCACTAGTAGAGCGTGCAAAATTAATCATGATCTTGTTTTTTGGGGGGGGTCTCAGATGCACAAGGTCATACAAGAGTCTTATAACGTTTTATTGAAGAAAATAGGGGACAAGGAATATTTCTTTGACCGGTGAGTAGAAATAATAAAGTAGAACCTCTTCATGATCACAGGGATCACACTTGAACACTTTCAACATAGGTCATCAACCATAGACGCCGTGGCATACGGTCATTTGGCGTTACATCTTTACGCTGATCTCCCGATCCCCGATTTGCCTGAAATTTTAAATAACGAATATCCGCGTCTAGTGCAGTTTTGTCACCGCATGAAAAGTCGACTATCCTCGAGGCCAATAAATCATCTACCAGCCACTGACCTTCCGTCGGTCTTCTCGGGATTGATAGGCTCTCCGCGAACCTGGTTCACTCGAACCTCTAAAACGGAGAGAGCAGAAGCTCAGATCAAATTCGAAAGAAAAAGAAATCTATCAATCTTGGGGGCGATCACCTTCGTTATAATTTATGTGGTTTGGAATGGGATTATCACTGTTGAATGGGACGGTGTCGCGAACGACGATGATAATGAAAACCACGAAAGGTCGGAAAACGGCACTGATGATATTGACGATGACGACGAAGACGACGACGATGATTATGATGACGGTTAGAATGAGCTCACGAATCTTTATAAAAAATACGTTCCTTTGTTAATTTCGTTGATTTATTTTGCGACTCAATAGTTTAAGCGGTCAGAAATAGGAATCGCAGTTGTGTAGCAAAATAAAGTAAATAAATTTCATCTTTTGGGGGTGGATAATTTCGGACTCCCTAGGATACACTTTACATTAATGATGGTGCCCATGACCGTGATCCTCTTTACCAACAAAGTTTAGTTTAAAAACTTGACCACATTCCGGGCAACGATCAATCCCATGTGATTTGTCAACAGTTATCCAGAGAAGTTCGTGAGAATCGGTGGGGTATCCTGTGACGAGAGAAAAAAAAAAAGTTATTTCATGATTCTCGCAATTTTACCGAGGCCACATCTCAACTATACCCACCCGAACAACCCACGTAACGTATAGGATCGACACTCTTAACTAAGACGGGATCATCCTTGGTACCCTTGCGAGTGATGTGCAAAGGTTTCATCTCAAAAAACTCTTTGCCCTCCATGGCAGCGAGTAACTCGAGGCGTTCAAGACCAGTGGCTTGTTCAACATCGGTGGGTATGGTACCGGGCTTTGCACCAGGCCCGAAAAAGTCTTTACTCAATTCTGAACATAGCATACATAATACATGGAAATTATGATAATTCGCAACTAGTATCACTCGAACTTTTTCGTTGATGTTGCTCGTCTGTCTGCCTGCTATTTTCACCTACCTCCATTACGAGGTCCCAAAACTGAGAAAGCCCGAAAAGTTAGCGGCGCACGAGGGATGCCTCCCAACAATTTTGTTCTGAGCGTGTGACGAATAGTTGCAGATATCATAATTTATGTGGAAAAAAAAAAAGTATTGTGTGGAGCGAGGTGATGGTGGTGGTGGTGGTGGGATGACTTTTTTTTTAATTTAAATACGATCTCTTTTGTATCACAAAATTAAGATTATCACACTAATGTTGTGTATGCACGTACATACTGTACGTAGTAAACCACTTTATTTACCCTTTACACACATATTATATAATCAAACAACTATTTATTTCCTAATATACTAACGCCATATCGATATATACTGTATACTGTATATTATGTTCTAAATTAATTAATTAAAGGTTTAGGATAACAAGTAATTGGTAAAACGCGAAAATTGCATTGAATGAAAAAAAAAAGATGATGGACAATAAAGCTCAGCAAGTATTCCCATCATAAAAAAAGAATTCCAATTTTTTTTGGAGGTAGAATAGCAATGCTCGCTATATTTTGAGTAACTAACTGTACAGGATGCGCTTTCGCAATTTTTTCTTTTCTTTTTTTTTCTTCTTTACAAAGGTCAATCATGTGATCCGAAAATTTAGGCGTTAACGTTGTAGGCGATGGTGGTGATGGTGGTGGCGGTGGTGGCGGTTTGTTTCTCGTTGCTTTCGTTCAACTCCAAACTGTATGATCGAATGCAGATGTACAAATAGGCCTGTGGAAGGTGCATAGAAGTAAGTACAGTATATTGCAAATAATTTCATAATCCCTTGGTCATTTGACAAAGGGCTTTCCGCGTTACATACCTGCCAAACGACTCCAAAACCGAATGGCAACAACCATCCCACAATTGGATATGCAACGGTATTAACATTACAATCGGTCCTCTCGTTGGCAGGGAGACTAGACTGTGCATCCTCGCACGTTTTCTTTGCCGCAGCAACAGCCGATGCTACGGCAATTTCCACGGCTATGATGAAAACGATGTTGGCCACGAGGTAGAAAATAACGGCGCCAAGATAGACACGAACGAACGTGGCGACTCGGTGAGGAATTTCATAGAAGATCGCGTGAGCACCATAAAGCGCGCCTGCGGCCACCAAGAGGTAAGAGACACCTAGAAGTTTCCAGAGGATGCCAAAGGATGCTAGAAAGAATGAAATTTGTTAGAGGACATCATACTTTTGATCTGTGGGAATGAATGAATGAACGAGGGAGTGAGATTGGTGGTGGATGATACATACCTCCATATGAAACGAACATGGTCGTCAAACCACTATATCCCATCCAAATAAACATCCATGCCGCAACAATGAAAGCGCCAGTTCTAAGGGGGACAACGAAACTGTGATTTAAAAAGAAACGTTATGGTAATTGTTGACGGAAGAATCATTCGGTTCATGATAAAGAGATGAGATACAGACCAGCAAAAAGGTACACGCGGAATTTCGACCATTTTGAATTAGTCTCGAATTAGAAGGGAAATGAACGGATGATGGAGAAAGGAAAAAGAGGATGTAATTGATATTTTCTTTACGCGTTAGAGAAGGAAGGAATGAAGAAAAATCAAAGCAACTTGATTTTTTTTTTTTGTGCGTATATGATTTTGCGTTGAGGAGTAGCAAGGAAAAATGGAAAGGCGTTGAGGTGGAGATATTTATCAGAAAAGTTTTGGCGTCGGTGTTCAATTAATTGTTTCTGTGTACACGTTCTACTTGCTGCTTTTAGATTTTTGATGTTATCATTCATGTCGAGTTTTAAAGTATTCGGCGCAGTGATGGTAATACTTTGGTTCCCATTGTGCGCAACAACTTGAACCATTTTTTTTTTACCAATAAAGATTTCACGTCGTTTACTGCGCTCGAAAGCACCACTTAATATTAAACTCGCACGCGCACGAATGCACACAATTTAAATTTGTTGACATGTGGAAACCGAAAAGGAACTGAAGCTCAAATTGCACAAACAAAGGACTGCCCAAATATTTTTATCATCCGAAATTGGAAACTTTCTTTTCGAATGATCAAGGTTACTTTAAATTATACCAGGCTGCATACACTATGAATTGTGATGTATGCGCACACTTCCTTGGAGAAAATAATACTTACGCACGACTTGGTCACCGCATAGAAAAAATATCTGTGCTATGTGAGTATAGATCTGAATCATTACGACAATAACATCACGCATTAATTGATATGCGCAATGAAGGAATGTTTGAGTGCAATATTACATTTGTATTCAATTAGATTTTTATTAACGTCCTCTCTTTAAGGAAGTTGTAAACAAAAAATCGCTGAAAAACCTGGTAAGACGGACTATCCGCACTTCAAAAATCTGTTGCCACCAATGTCGCACGAATTATACTTCAATAAACAAATACTTTAATCTTGCCTAGGTACCATCGTTTACTGTGTGAAAGCGAAAAAAGGAAATTTCGATTTCACAAAAGTTATAGATGATAATTTAATTGTCAACACTTTTGTTTCAAACGGTGGTTCATTGGTCTGTTTCTTTGCACAGGAAAATATTTAATATGGATTCATCTTTCATCTTTCAAAACGGACCCCTGATTAAAAATCCCATTAATTAATTAATTGATTATACTGTAGATATTTTTAGAATAATAGTTACAAATAAAGATAATGACAATTGATAGCTTAACGACCTTTTTAACACAAATTTTATCTGACATCTGCAGTAGTGACCTGCAGGCAATGAAGTTAGCAGTTGGAAGGGTTTATACCTAAACTACTAATGGAGTGATAAATCACTTCCGAAGTTGCACTTAGAGTTTTAAGAAATTTAAAACAGAGACAAGTGAGTTAGGTAGAGATTTATCTTTAGCAAAATATTTAATAATGTAAAGTATACAAACATTTAATAAAGCACACATACCTAGCCTGACTTGGGGCAAAAAAAAATTTTATTCTGAATTCTTGAAAACAATTAAAATTAAGTAACATATTAAATAGCATAGTATATTAAATAATATTTTATTTCAACTGTAAACTTTTAAAGATTTGAAATTATTTTAAGTTCTTAATTATAAGATTGTATTTAAAATTTTACTTTATATATTTTTTTCAAAATTTATATACTATATATGTTTCAAAAATTTATTATTATCAATGAATTTCTTTTTTTTTTTTTTTTTTTTATCAATTATTATACAGTACAATTTTCAATAAATAATCAAAAATATTTTTTTTAAAAAAAAAAAAGTTTTTTGAATATTTAATTAATTGGAAATTCAAATTAATAAATATATCTTGAATCAATAATAAAAAATATGTTTTGAATAATATAGTCATATTTTTTTTTGTTTTTTTTTTTAATGATTCTATCATAACAATAAATAAAATATCTATCTTTTTTTTTTTTTTTTTTTTTTTTTAACCCTCTGTCAGGCTAGTTGCGTGCGCTTTATTAAACAAAAGTAAGCTATA